AGAAAGGTAATTTATCTGTGACAAACATAGGCTACATTTTTATTATGTTTTAATTTCACACAGACGAAATCGCGAGAAATAACTAGTAATTAAATAAGAGGAAAGCCTTGATTTGTTTTAAAACTACTGAACCGATTTTAAAAATTCTTTCATCATTAGAAAACTAAATTAGTATTGAACATAGATTATATTTTATTATAAAAAAAAAAATAAACAATAGTAAACAACAACAACAAAATTATTTCTGAACCTATGAGCTAAAACGCACACTCATTGTCTCGGACGATGCTACGATGGATGTTGGATTATTTAATAAAAAGAAAACATTTGCATATAAAATGCGGCGTAATATTGATAACGTTTCAGTTGTTTGGCGGACATTTCAGTTCAAGGTTCGATTACGTGATGAAAAATAATTAGTCAAGGCCTTGCCCTCGTTGCTAAATTTCTGTCGGCGACATTTTGCGATAATTAAATCCATTCACGAGCGATTCGTGCGTCGAAACAACGAAACGCGAAAACGGTTTTAAGATTAGTGACGATCTAAATACGTCCTATTTCATTCTTTTAATGTTATTCAATTAAATTATAAATGAGCTGTTGCTCGCGACTTCGCCCACGTGTAATTATAAATATATCCTAATACTAGCTTTCGCCCGCGACTCCGTCCGCGTGGAATTAAAAAAAAACAAATGTGAGCCTATGTGTTCTTTCAGACTATCTTCTACACCTATGCGAAATTTCATCGATATCCGATCAGCAGTTTAGGTTACAAACTCTAACAAACATCCATCCATCCAAATTTATAATATTAATCTATTAATCTACACTATTATAATAAAGCGTAAACACACACTTCTTTGTTGCCTAAGATGTTAGCAATTACAGCATATTTTTGAATAATTCTATTTTTAATAAAAAGCCCTACACTTGTGTCACGCTTTAGGCTATATATTTTCACGCCATTAAACTTAGGTGGTAAATATTTTGGATAAAAACCCTAATGTTTCCCACATTGGAGACCATAAGTTGCTGCCAACATCAAGAAAGCAAGGTTGCCGTTGTTTGATATCATGTCATTTTGACATTTGCTGTTGATAATTTGACAAATGTTAATTTTGTTTGTTTGTTTAAATAAGATTTGAATTTATCTATCTTTCAAGTAAATATAAGAATAATTAAGTAATTCCTTATTTAGTAACTTATTATATGAATGGTAAGAGTGTGCTCACCTTTGACTAAACTATAGCATAACTGTCGTGCGATTGTCGATTGTTTCGCAGCCAATTCCACTGTTTTGCACAACTAAAAATCGAGTAGTGTGCGCACCTCCACAAGCTCATAGGAATCAAAGCGAGACTTAACCCCAAACTTCAATTAAGACGTTGTAAATAAAATTAGACTTTTTTGATATTTTTTTCAACTGTAATGTGTATAAGTCAAGAATCCCTGACCACATTTTTGTTAAAAAACTCGAGTAACTCGAAAAAAAACTATATATTCGTACACACAACGGTGATTTATTTATTTATTTATTCGTTGTTATTACCAGGTCAATGTCTACATTGAATTTAAACAATTAATCGTTAGTTCGCTAACATAAAAAACACAAAAAAACTAGTACTGAAATGGATCACCATAAACCGCTTAGAAAATTCCATAATTATTGTGGTAAAATGTTTTCTACATCTGACATTTATTCTTATTTTAAACTCTCACTAGGCAAAATACTAAAACAAAGGAAAAATCAAAATGGCCGCCAAGTATTGAATGACGTTTCTCTAATTTAGTTTAAAATATAAATTCTTTTTAATAATTTGTACTTGTGAAGGCTCGTGTAGTGGTTGACTTAAGGCCTAGTCTTCCCTTAAGATACGCTCTCAGATCCTTAGTGAAGAAGTGTGGCGTATAGAAATAAGTGACCACAAACATGTCTCAAAAAATGCTCTGTTACGTTTGGTGAAAGTATCCAATACAAAGATTATTTTGCCTTCATTTCGCTGGTACTTGACCACAATTCAGTACGTCAAGTGGTAGTTTTTAATGCCGTATTTGTATACTAGCTTTCGCCTGTAACTCTGTCCGTGTGGAATTAAAAAGGCTGTGTTCTTCCAGCTCTACATCTATGCCTTTCGAGTTCCGATCAGTTTAGACGACCTAACAAACATCCAACATTCGCTTTTATAATATTAGTAACTATTTATCTGTATGATAATACACAAAATGATAAGTTCTACAAATTCTACGTAGTTATTGAACGAGATAGTCTTCTAGGGAATTGTGTATGATTTTACGCTTATATTAATGTAATCACATATATCATTTCAAAACGTAGTCAAAGTGACAACAACCATTTTGGAAGTCGGGTTATAATAGACTAGCTGTTGCTCGCAACTTCGCCCGCGTGAAATAACAAATATAACCTATTACGTTCGCCCTTTTTTTTCAACCTATCACCAAAAGTATTAACTTAGTAGTAATCTGCGTAATAACAAAAATCTACCGATGCAAGATTCCAAATTTCTAAGCCCGGTAGCTTGTAAGCTGATTTTTCGGTTACCCTTATTGTTTGTGTTTGCGATATCTTCTAAACTATTAGTCCAATTTAAATACTCTAAAGGACAATTTTATTCTACATTAATAATAGATATGTTCTAATACAATTATCTAAGAACGTAAACGTTGCGAATAGGCAAATCTAGACATAATAAAGCATGTTTTAATTTTTAAATATTTTACATACAAATGTTAATACAATTAAATTATTATTTTATTAAATTCGGTTACTAAAAATATTCAATTTATCGAAATTAACATGAAATATAGACCTAAGTTTCATTATTTGAAATAAATTCCATCCATAATACGTTTAACTCAAAATAAATATTATTCAATTTAGATTTATAAACAACCGTGGATTTCCATTGTAGAATGTTATCACAAAAAAATTATATCCATCTCTATCATACTGTTTAAAATAAACAAAGACAGCATTTGTTTTTGCACTGGCGTTTAAATCCACGGTTACCTTTTGACTTCACATCTTTGAAGTCAATACAAAGTCAATAAAACTAGAAGCGACATAAACAAAGTAACGGCCCATGCCAAGACTCCTGAGGGGGCCCTCGAGCTTAGTTACTCATAAACGAGACTTAGACGAAGCGCCATCTGCGCTCGGCCACATCAAATCCGGTGCAGCTGTAAATGCCTCTTCTAGGCAAACAGTGACAAATCAGTCACAAAAAAAATAGAAGCGACATAGTAACTATAAGAGCGCACTTTGACACAACTGTTGCGCGATTGTCGATTGTTTCGCAGCCAATTCCTGTTTCAGCATAACTAACAATCGAGTAGTGTGCTCACTATAACCTCTTTGGAGTCGAAACGCGTTCCAAATATGTTTAAATAAACGATAAAATTAATTCCGTAAAGAGCGAGACAGGGTAACAAGTTAAGCATGAAATCTCACTTGACATGGCTAACGGAAGAAATGTCCGTGGACTAAGATCGATGAGATGAGCGGTCCAGATTTGAACTTGTCTAGGAAACGACTGGCTACGATATGCAGGGGTGTACAACATTTTGTACTAACGTTATGCATATTCATAGCACAAGATTGTGTTTTTTATAGTTTCAGATAGCAAATAATCGAACAGCCATCGGAAAAGCTAAAATAGTGTAATGACAGCTGCCAAGACACCTGCCATAAGTTAAAAGAAGCGTTGTCTAAATTAACAGACTAGATGTTTTAGCTTCTTGTTTTTTAATGTGTTTTATTTATTATTAACTGTTGCTTGCGACTTCGGCCGCGTGAAATTAAAAACTAATAAAAAACATATTTAATGGTGAAAGAATTTTTGAAATTGGTCCTGTAGTTTTTGTGTTATTTCAATACCTCTAAATAGCTAAAAATACAAATCTTTCCTCTTTATAATATTAGTATAGATTTAACAAATAAATGTTATAAATCTGTTTAAATGTTGCAAAGTTTATCCACAGAACAATAAACCACAAATTGAATTATTTAAAATATGAAATATATTCCAATTGTTGTCAACCCGTGGCACATCATTATAATTTGCTAAGACAAATAGACGTGCAATCTATTAACTATAACAAACAGTACTTCTTCAATGTTATGACTAAGAGATTGTTTAGATAGTCAGAAATATGTAGAAAGGATGTATGAATCGGTCATAAGGTCAGCTATCAAAAAATCGTGACATAAATGCGTTCGTGGAAACATAAATGTGAAAGAAATAAGTGGTGTGCAACCTTGTTTGAAATAAATTGATCTGCCTATCCCTGTATGTAGAAATACGGTCTTGTATTTGAGATGTTCCTTCGTTTTACAACAAACTTTATTTATTTCTTTGGTAAAACAATAATTTATATTACAAATAACACAAGATCCTTTTATTGTAGATATCATATTTTTATGTTAATTTCCGTCTGTGTAGGTTTTACATATCTTTGTTTAATGTTATTTGACACATTGACGACATTTGAGATGCTTGATTAAATGAATTTGATCCTTTCCGATTACAATTTACTTTAATTTTAAGGTTATATATAACGTAATGTAGTAGCAAAACCGGCTACAAATTCGGTTTTATAGAAAAAAATATAAACAAGAACGAAAATTAAAAACTCATATTTTAGATGTAATTCGATTCAACGTACAACAGTCGAGGTAACGATAATAAAATAAAAACAGCAACAACTTTTTTAAGTTCAGCGTGCCAAGACTGGCTGGAAACTAGATTTAAGAATAAAACCTGACGATATATGATTTTCAAATAGGATATGGCACATTTGTTTTATCTTATTATTTTAAAAATCAATTGCAATTCTTATTAGAAAGTTAACCAATAATTTTTATACTAAATTGTGGTACAAAACCGTTATTTAAATATATAATTTAATAACATTTATTCGTAATGTTAGTGTTCTAATAAAATATTCATTTTTACGAGATTTCAAACATTTTAAACACTTACCAAATAACCTAAAAGTTCCCGGATACAGTTCAAAAACCTCACGTAACCACTGCACAAAAGTTAAACTATAGTACACATACAAACACTGTTTGTACAGAAATGCTTGTCAATGCAACTTTCTAGTTGAACTTTGCGTAAAACACGATTTTATCACGTCCCAAACTGTTCAACGCAACAACACGGGTCAACACTGACCGTTTTACTTCAATAGTATCGTTTAAATGTTATTTCTCGTTGTAATTTTGCTACGTAAAAGTTTTTAAATAGCTAACGGGACTAACGGCCGCTCCCCACCGATGTTAGCTCGCATCTGAGCGAAGACCCGACTTGTAGATTGACCTTCGCATAATGAAATGCGACGGTCTGAAGTTAGTTACGAAGACCGGTTCCTTTAGGCAAAAGTGGTTACGTGTGTTTTATCTATACTTTTTTTAAATCCTCACTCTTCACTCTGAATTCACAATAATCATCCGAGTTTAATCTCGTCTTTAAATTGCATTAAAATTTGATGTCGGTAACACATAAGAATTCTTCTGACAAACTGTTACTTTGGGAATTTTTTGATTTATCTTATTTGAGATGGTTGTCACGATTTAAAAATGTTTTTCATCCAAATTTCGTTACGGAAGAAGATTAATTTTGGATTAACTTAATCACCAATACTATACGTACTATAGTAGGGATACTGGGGATCAGAGCCAAACCTAAATTAGGAATGACTAGGACACGAGTAAGTGCTTAAAACTCCGACCGACACTCTTTTATTGATTAACTTAATTAAAAATTAATCTATACTAATATTATAAAGATTTGTTTGTTTGTATTGAAATAACTCAACAAATACTTACGTTTTCACAATTTCTTTAACAAAAATGCTACATTATTACAGACATATGGTATGTTTTTATTATTTTTTTAATTACACGCAGACGAAGTCTCAAGCAACAGCTAGTTAATAACATTTTCCTCTCTTCCGATAGACTTCTGCTACAAACGTAAAAATCAATTTGGTAATTATTAAGTTACCTTTTCATTTGTAATTCTAATTCTTTCACCTGAGAAAGAATGTTCAAGTCTTCTGTTCGAAATGATTTGGCTATCGTTTATTGATGCGATAAAATACCTAAAGAGCCATAGATTTACATGTCATCAATGTCCACGCATTCGTGTACGTTAAATGACCTTTTTAGAACAAAACGGCCAGTAACACATTTCCTTATTATAAGAAAAATGAAAGTAGATATCCCAAGGTGAAGATCGTATTACTATATCTCCTTTGATTTTAACTTAGTAAAAGTATCAATCACTTTATTCTATGCGTACTTCGACCTTTTGTTTTGACATTTAATCTATATCTATATTTCTATACTGTCTATACTCTATACTCTATACTCTATACTCTATACTATTATAATAAAGCGTAAACACAGGGTGTGTTTCTTTGTTGCATGAGATGTCAGCAATTAAAGCATATTTTTGAAATATTCTTTCTTTAATAAGCCCTACACTTACGACACGCTTTAGGGTATATATTTTCACGCCATTGAACTTAGGGGGTAAATATTTTGGATGAAAACCCTAATGTGGGAAAGAGACCATAAGTTGCTGCCAACATCAAGGAAGCAAGGTTGTCACGGTTTGTCATCGTCATGTCATTTTGACATTTGAAATTGATAATTTGACAGATGTAAACAATAAAATAAAATTTTTATAATGTTATGCGGATGAAGTCGCACGGGAACAGCTAGTCAATACTAATATTATAAAGAGGAAAGATTTACATTTTTGTATGTATTGAAATAACTCAAGAATTACAGAGCCGATTTAAAAAAAATCTTTCGCCATTACAAAGCTACGTTGTCAGTGTCTAGTAATGTCTAAAGATCATAGGAATTAAAGCGAGACTAAAAAGTTATGCGATAGTTTGGTCAAAAAGAATGATAATGAATATAATAGTTATAATTTGTCTCGGATGTTGCTAATTACGCGATTCTACTATTGTTTTGTGTTAAGTATACTTTAATGTAATTATTTTAAACGTTATATTTACATAGATAAAGTAAAGTCATAAATAACAACGTTAATTTAAAATCAAGCAGTTTATTTAAGTATTCAAAAGAATCATATTTGAAGGTTAAAATATCCTTAGAGCTCGCGCACATATTTGACTACACTATAACAGAACTGTTTCATCTAATTACTACGAGCCTATGGAGGTGCACACTTCTTGAATTTTAGTTGTGCAAAACAGTTGAATTGGCTGCGAAACAATCGGCAATCGCACAACAATTGTGCGAGTTAGTCAAAGCATACGCCCGCGACTCCGTCCGCGCGGAATTAAAAAACAAATGCAAGTAGCCTATGTGTTCTTCCAGACTATCCTCTACGTCTATGCTAAATTTAATCGAAATCCGTTTAGCAGTTTAGGCTACAAACTCTAACAAACATCCATCCATGCATCTAAACTTTCGCATTTATAATATTAGTGTGAAGTATGATTTTACAAGTCTTAGTAGATTTTATATTTTTTCTGACAGACTCAGCGATAGCCTATGACCTTTTTTTAACGGAACATTATGCTTTGGTATGATTTTTTCGGCAAAGACAGGATTTTATAAATTTATTAGTCGCGTCTGTCAAAAAGTTAAACGCAAAAGATATCAGAAATGCCACCGTCAAAGCGTCATTCGATTACGAAGTCCGACATGAAAGATAAAAGATTAACTCTAACCGGTATCGTGGTGCAAAAGGTAAAAGACGATCGGTCAAAAAATAAAGATGTACAACGCCCCAAACTGCAACTGACATATCGCGTATATTAGATCTTAAATTATTTAATATACAAGAAACATATCGCGTTCCTTTTTACACTCGTTGATAAAGAGACAGTTGTAGTACAAGTGTTACGGATCTGGAATTTCGCGGTTTTTGGCTGAATGTCGGATGTTTTCTTTCTGTTTTTAAATGATTTGCGTTTAAAAACTTGTCTTTACCGAAATGACGTTTGAAAAGATTGTACTGATATCGAATGAAAAAAACATAAAAATGAACATTTATTACTTTAATTTTTTATATATATTTTTTAATATTTGACTAGTGTTTGTTCGCGATTTCGTCAGCGTAAATTAAAAAATAAATTGTACAGGCAACCACAAATTTTAGGAATCTTATTTTCGTTACAAGTAAAGAAATTTACCTATTTTTTTACACATAACTATTGGTGAGCACAATTAAGGGCGTTGCTCACGACCGTGTTAACCTAAGATTTATTTGGCGGCCATTTTGTAATTCAATTACTCGTTGAGTTTGTCGATTTTTAGTCTGTGGTGTTTGTAAATTAAATACGGCAGTCTGTTTAAAGATGGAAGAAGATTGTCAAGAAATTAATACTTGTGTTTTATTATTATAATTTTGTAACGGAATTGTTGACTCGAGTTAGTAATGAATTATATCTTATTGTTTTTAAAAAGTAAGGAAAGAAAATTTATTAGCTGACTAGTTGCCGAAACCTCGTCTCAGTGATCATTTTTGAGGTTAGTTGCGTCGCGGGGAACAGTTATTTATGCAGAAGATATCAAAACCTGCAATTAAAATTAAATTTCAACAGATAAAAAATAAACGAAAGTAATTTAGGACCGCAAACGAATTTTATCCGAGCCGTGTTTTCTCTCCCGGGTTTTGTGAATTCGAAAAAAAGAAAAAAAAACTAAATGCCTGGAATTTGCAGGGAATTAAAGGTACCTTTATCTCATTTTGTGAGCTTTGTATCTCCGTATCCAAACTTTAATTTAAAATTTGTCGCCCCAAGGTGGAAATGGTGAATTCTCTTGAGATATAAAGATACAATATATTCGTCCTGGTGGAACATACCATAATTGTCCTGAATTTTGTGCCAGTCTAAAAGTAATTTCCATTAGCGAAATATTTGGACGGTAATTTCATATATCATATTTTGACGAAAGGAATTTATATTTCTGTATATAACTGCAAAACATTCTCATATGGCGATTTACTTTTGCCTTACCTTTACTACAATTAAAAAAACTAAAGTTTAACCATGCACATCACGTCACTGACTTAGCTATTGTTGATTGTAGGTTAACAATGTTTTTTTGGTATACCGGACAATTATAAAACAAAGTACACTAGTACAAATAGATCTCGTTTTGGCATATATTAGCATAAGAATAATTATATGGAAGTATAACTTAAAAACAATATAAATTAAAAGACATCTAAGAAGAACAGAAAAGTAGTAGTACTTTATTTAGAAATAAATAAATAAAATGTGATATATGCTATGACTTTAGTAAATAACATAGTTTGTAAGATTTAAAAGGTTATTTGAATAGTTTCAGTAGTGTAAGTTTACTTAGAAAAAATAAATATTAGTATGCTTACAATTTAATTTGGTCACCCTATTATACATAGCATCAATACTGAGAGACATATATCTATCTCCGTCAGACACACACTAATTCATCATATTCCCGTCTCCTATTTGAAAGCCTGACACAGGATGCAGGCGTGCGGGTTGTTTTTTCGAAATTTGAATAAATTTACACTTTTAAAGAAAGCTCTAGAGTTCATAGAAGGTTCTCGAACTCCACCTTTATATTATTAACAATTTAGTATTCATTGGGTTCTTATAAGTTGACAAATGAGCAAATTAGAAAAGCAGGTGATACAAATATTTGCACGCAAACAGTTCAGCCGTTCAAATACCAGGAGCCCATAAAAGACTTAGTTCTTTTCTCCTATTAGAGCGTTTAAAACTCAGAGAATGAGCATAAGTCAATTGACTATTTTACCAACTTTAGCCTTCCAATTTTTCCTTTATCGTCTCTACTGTCTATACCAATATTATAAAGAGGAAAGATTTATATTTTTGGATTACTGTATGTATTAAAATAACTCGAAAACTACTGGGAATATTTCATAAATTCTTTCACCATTAAGAAGCTAAATTATTATAACATGAGCTATATATATTTTTTTTTTAATATCACGCGAGCAAAGACACAGAAAACAGACCTGAATGATGAAATACTCTACGTCTGGGTTCCTTCCCTTTTATATGTATTTTTCAACTTCAAGTTTTATTAACGAAGTATATTTGAAGCCTATCATGCTGTGTATTGCCAAGTGCTAGAGTGTTTGTACAGTGTGCAGTGTGCACTTACGAAGCCAACGAATCTTAAAGTACATTCACGAGCCCCCTGCAACGTTACATCGGGAGATCTGTACGTTTTATAAAGATCGCGACACACTGAGCGACATAAAATTAATAAATGTATAATGTTTTATTTAGATTTAACATTCAAAACCAATA